CTGGAGATTCTCTCCCTCTGCCCTTCCCCTGCCCTGCTCACTCTTGCTCTAAAATAATTTTTAAAAATTTATATAAAAAGGCAAAGTATCCAAAATCTATAAAGAACTTAGCAAACTCAGCGCTCAAACAACAAATACTCCAATCAGGAAATAGGCAAAGGACATGAACAGACATTTCTGCAAAGAAAACATCCAGATGGCCAACAGACACATGAAAAAGTGCTCCGTATCACTAGGCATCAGGGAAATACAAATCAAAACCACAATGACATACCAGCTCACACCAGAGAGAGTGGCTAAAATTAACAAGTCAGGAAACGACAGGTGTTGGCGAGGATGCAGAGAAAGGGGAACCCTCCTACACTGTTGGTTTGGAATGCAAGCTGGTGCAGCCACTCTGGAAAACAGTAGGGAGGTTCCTCAAAAGGTTGAAAATAGAGCTACCCTACAACCCAACAATTACACGACTGGGTATTTACCCTAAAGATACAAATGTAGTGATCTGAAGGGGCACATGCACCTGAATGCTTATAGCAGCAATGTCCACAATAGCCAAACTATGGAAAGAGCCCAGTTGTCCATCAACAATGAATGGATAAAGATGTGTGGTATGTATGCACACACACACACACACACACACACACACACACACACACACACACGAGTATTACGCAGCCACCAAAAAATTGAAATCTTGCCATTTGCAACAATGTGGATGGAACTAGAGGATATTATGCTAAGCGAAGTAACTCAGTCAGAGAAAGACAATTATTATCATATGAGCTCTCTGATATGAGGAATTTGAGAAACAAGACAGAGGATCATAGGGGAAGGGAGGGAAAAATGAAACAAGATGAAACCAGAGAAGGAAACAAACCATAAGAGACTCTTAATCTCAGGAAACAAACTGAGGGTTGCTGGAGTGGAGGGGAGTGGAGGGGATGGGGTGGCCGGGTGATGGACATGGGGGAGGGTATGTGCTATGGTGAGTGCTGTGAATTATGTAAGGCTGATGAATCACAGACCTGTACTCCTAAAACAATACATTACATATTAATTAAAAAAAAAATTAAGGGGTGCCTGGGTGGCTCAGTTTTAAGTGTCTGCCTTCGGCTCAGGTCATGATCCTGGGGTCCTGGGATTGAGCCCCACATTGGGCTCCCTGCTCAGCAGGAAGCCTGCTTCTCCCTCTCCCACTCCCCCTGCTTGTGTTCCTTCTCTTACTGGATCTTTCTCTGTCAAATAAATAAATAAAGTCTTAAATAAATAAATAAAAATTTTTAAAAAATTGTTTGCATTGTTAAAATAAGTAAATAAAACCTCAAATAAAGTCCAAGCCAAGACTGCCCTGATACCAAAGTCAGGCAAAGACACCACAAGAAAACTAAAGACCACCAGCTCTTGTGCTGCTGTAAAATCCACAACAAAATATTAACCTAACTAGCCTATTAAGGGATTACACACAATGACCAAATGGGACTAATTTGAGGAATGCAAGAACTGTTCAACAGGTGAAAATCAATGAAATAAATCACATTAACAAATGAAGAAAAAAAACCCCACTTAATCATCTCAGTTGTTGCAGAAAAAGCATGTGACACAATTCACACCCTTTCATGATAAAAATATTTTAAAAAAACTTGGAATAGAAGGGAACTACATCAACACAACAAAGGCCACATATGAAAAACCCACAGCCAACACCTAGCCAATGGTGGAAGACTGAAAGCTTTTCCTCTAAATCAGGAACATGACAAGGCTATCTTCTTCCACCACTTCTGTGTTCAACACAGGACCAGAAGTCCTAGCCAGAGGAATTAAACAAGACAAAGAAATAAAAGCACGCAAATTGAAAAAGAAGAAAATTATCTCTGTTCACAGACAACATTACATTATAGGTAGAAAACCTGAAGATTCCACAAAAACCTGTTAGAACCGATAAACAGGGGTGTCTGGGTGGCTCAGCGGTTTAAAGCCTCTGCCTTCGGCTTGGGTCATGATCCCGGGATCCTGGGATCAAGCTCCACGTGGGGCTCTCTGCTCTGTGGGGAGCCTGCTTCCTCCTCTCTCTGCCTGCCTCTCTGCCTACTTGTGGTTTCTGTCTGTTAAATAAATAAATAAAATCTTAAAAAAAAAGAACCGATAAACAATTTCAGCAAAGTTAGAGGATATAAAATCAATACATGAAAACCAGTTGTGTTTCTATATACTAACAAGGAACAATCTGAAAAAAAAATTCCATTTACAGTAGCACTGAGAAAATAAAATACTGAGGAATAAACTTAACCAAGGAGGTGAAAGACTCATACACTGAAGACTATAAAGTGTCGCTGAAAGAAATTAAAGACACACTGAGTCCCAAAGAGATATTTATACACTCAGGTTCAGAGCAGCATCATTATGCACAATAGCTAAAAGGTAAAAACAACTCAGGCATTTATCAGTAGGTGAATGGACAGGGCGCCTGGGTGGCTCAGTTGGTTGGGCAACTGTCTTCAGCTCAGGTCATGGTCCCGGAGCACTGGGATTGAGTCCCGCATTGGGCTCCCAGCTCCATAGGGAGGCTGCTTCTCCCTCTGACCTCCTCCCCCCCTCTCATGCTCTCTCTGTCTCTCTCTCAAATAAAATTAAAATAAAATTAAAAAAAGAAAGAAAGATAGATGGACATATAAAATATCACAGTGTTTAAAAGGAAGGAAAATTTGACACATGCTACAACAGGGATGACCCTTGAAGACATTACGGTAAATGAAATTAGTCACAAAAGGACAAGTACCATATGATCCCCTCAAGGGAGGTGTTCAGAGTTCACAAGGGAAAGCAGACTGGTGGGCACCAGGGGCTAGAAGGCAGGGAAAGTGGAGAGTCATTTAATAAATGCACAGTTGGTTCTGCAAGATGAAAATGGTCTGTGGGTGGATGGCAGTGATAGCTGTACAACAACGGGAGTGTGCCTAATGAACCGCACACTTCAAAATGACTTAAATGGTAAAACAAAAAATTAAAATATTAAATGATATTCAGTTTTTAAAAAGAAGACACACATACATGACTACATGACTCCACTCAGTATCTAGAATAGTCAAATTCATACAAACAGAAAACAGAACGGTGGCTGTCGGGCTGGGGTGCAGGGGAAATGGAAGCTAACTGGTATAGAATTTCAGTTTTGCAAGATCAAAAACTTCTGGATATTAGTTGTATAGCATATGAATATATATATTTTTAAAGATTTTATTTATTTATTTGACAGAGATCACAAGCAGGCAGAGAGGCAGGCAGAGAGGCAGGCAGAGAAAGAGGAGGAAGCAGGCTCCCCGCTGAGCAGAGAGCCTGATGCGGGGCTGGATCCCAGGACCCTGAGATCATGACCTGAGCTGAAGGCAGAGGCTTTAACCCACTGAGCCACCCAGGCGCTCCAGCATATGAATATATTTAACACTAATGAGTTGTACACTTAGAAGTGGTTAAGACGACAAATTTTACCAAATGTAAAAAAAATTACACACACACACACACACACACACACACACACGCTTCAAAGATGTCTGCCTGTTCAGAGTTCACTTGGGCAAGAGAAGTACACTTAGTTTACTGATCGTGTATTATTCACCAAGAATAGTGTCTGAAATAACATCCATGTTTCCCTCAAAAGAAAATTATTAGTTATTCTTAATGAATGACAGAAGCTCTTGGGATTAATCAGCTCTGTACTAACTAAAAGATCAGAGCTAGTGTTCTGCTCATATAATCTCTTAATCTAATTCTTTTTTTAAAAAGAGATTTTATTTATTTAACAGAGAGAGAGAAAGCATAAGCAGCAGGAGCGGCAGAGGGAGTGGTGGGACAAGCAGGCTTCCGCTGAGCAGGGAGCCCGATGTGGGGCTCCATCCCAGGACCACAATCTGAGTCGAAGGCAGGCATGTAACTGACTGAGCACCCAAGTACCCCTCTTAATCTAATTCTTAGTGATGTTTTAATTCCTACAAGCTTAACTTATTCAAGAAAGTCACCAGGAAAAGTAATAGAGCTTTAAAAGAAAAGAGAATGTTATCAAGCCATTTTTGCCTCAAGTGAATTAAATGGTCAATTTTATAAAGAGCACTTTAATTTGTGAACCCAGCTGTCAACAAATTTGACCTAAGTGCTGTACAGGGGTTATGTGGCAGGTCACAGAACTGGGACTCAAAAAAAATCCAAAAAGATTTTAAGATTAAAAACTCTCATTAAAATTTTTGTTCTGGCTCTTGGATCCTTGTGTCTAAATCTCAGTTGTCTTATCCACAATATCATGATCCTACTTTAAAAGAGCACTGCATATTAATTATAATTTCGAAACCCATCGAAATAGAATTATAGTATTGCTGAGGATGGTTTTTGTAAACTATCAGTTTCATTTCGTGTCACACACTTTTCCTACTTAAAATAATTTTTACTACAGTGATTTGAAAGGGCACATGCACCCCAATATTTATAGCAGCAATGTTCACAACAGCCAAATTATAAAAAGAACTTAGATATCCATCGAGAGATGAATGGATAAAGGTGTGGTATGTACACATACACACACACACACACAGCAATATTACTCAGCTATCAAAAAGAACGAAATCTTGCCATCTGTAAGGACATGGATGGGGAATTATGCTAAGTTATGTAAGTCAGAGAAAGACAAATCCATATGATTTCACTCTTATGTGGAATTTAAGAAACAAAACAGATGAACATAGAGGAAGGAAAGGAAAAATAAAAAAAGATAAAAACAGAGAGGGAGGCAAACCATAAGAGACTCTTAACAGTAGGAAACTAAGGGTTGCTGGAGGGGAGGAGGGTGGGGGATGGAGTAACTGGGTGATGGGCATTAAGGAGGGCACTTGATATAATGAGCACTGGGGGTTACATGCAACTGATGAAATCACTAAATTCTACCCCTGAAACTAATAATATACTATATGCTACTTTAATTGAATTTAAATTAAAAATAAAAAAATTTTACTTACTTGGTCAACTTGTGGCTTTTCATTGCTGTGAGAAATTCTCTAACAATTTCAGGACTCTGGTGCCTGCATGGTGTTTTTGATATATATTTTAATGTCTACCCCCAAAAAAAAAAGAAAGAAAAAGTAAGCATAAGACAAAAAAAACCCGAATAAGAAAAAAGAAAGACAATGGCTATAATTTAGTATTCTAAAATTTTATTTCAAAAATCTTCTATAAAAGGACCCATTACAGATTGGAGGATATTAAGGGACATGGTAATTAAATACAAAACAGTATCCTTGAAAAGAAAAAGAGCATTAATGGAAAAACTGAGAAAATTTGAATAAAATCTATGTATAATATTCTTAGTTTTGATAATTGTGCCATGGTTATATGAGATGTTAACATCAGGGAAAACTAAGAGAAGGGCATATGGGAACTCTCAGCACCACCTCTGTAACTCTTCTGTAAGACTACCATTATCTCAAAATAAAAGGCTTTTACTTTTTTTAAAAGAGGGAACCCCACCTAGACATAACTTGAAAGGAACTTCAAACTTGAAAAGTAAACAGTAACCTCAAGCCTCTAAGTTAAGAGTCTCTCCCAAGTGCAAAGATCAGGCTGGTCTCAGACTCCTCCATAATGATGACCACTAGCAGACTAAGTAAACCCTACAGAACCTTGCAGAACGGAAGTCAAACCCATGAACTCCAAGTTCAGATGAGGTGTCATTCACACATTAAGAACACTAGAAATAGGGGCGCCTGGGTGGCTCAGTGGGTTAAGCCGCTGCCTTCGGCTCAGGTCATGATCTCAGGGTCCTGGGATTGAGCCCCGCATTGGGCTCTCTGTTCAGCAGGGAGCCTGCTTCCCTCTCTCTCTCTCTCTCTCTCTCTCTGCCTGCCTCTCTGTCTACTTGTGATCTCTCTCTGTCAAATAAATAAATAAAATCTTAAAAAAAAAAAAAAAGAACACTAGAAATATATTCTCAGGCATAAAAAGTCTCAAAACATTTACCACCATAGTAACTTTCCTTAAGGCACTATAAATTAAAAGAACTTAACAAATATGTAAAAGAGTGCCAGTGAGTTTAAACTGATTTAAGTGTGTAGTAATAGTACCTGACAGGGGCACCTGGGTGGCTCAGTGGGTTAAAGCCTCTGCCTTCGGCTCAGGTCATGATCTCAGGGTCCTGGGATCGAGTCCCGCATCGGGCTCTCTGCTCAGCAGGGAGCCTGCTTCCTCCTCTCTCTCTCTCTCTCTGCCTGCCTCTCCGTCTACTTGTGATCTCTGTCAAATAAATAAATAAAATCTTTTTTTTTTAAAGATTAAAGATTTTTTTTTAAAGATTTTTTTTTAAAGATTTTTTAAAGATTAAAGACAGAGAGAGAGATCACAAGTAGGCAGAGGCAGGCAGAGAGAGAGAGAGAGGAGGAAGCAGGCTCCCCGCTGAGCAGAGAGCCCGATGTGGGGCTTGATCCCAGGACCCTGAGATCATGACCTGAGCCGAAGGCAGAGGCTTTAACCCACTGAGCCACCCAGGCGCCCAAAAAAAAAAAAATTTAAAAAAAAAAAAAAAAAAAAAAAAAGAGAGAGTACCTGACAGCCTGAAATTTGGCTATAAAACTAATTACCAACAAACATTTCATTTTCTTCTTCTTTTTTTTTAAAGATTTTATTTATTTATTTGACAGAGATCACAAGTAGGCAGAGAGGCAGGCAGAGAGAGAGAGGGGGAAGCAGACTCCCTGCTGAGCAGAGAGCCCGATGTGGGGCTTGATCCCAGGACCCTGAGACCATGATCTGAGCCAAAGGCAGAGGCTTAACCCACTGAGCCACCCAGGCAACCCCATTTTCTTCTTTTAAAGAGATGAATACTATAATGTAAAAGAACATGAGTGAATAAATAAATGATAGTTTTTTTTGAGAGAGAGAGTGAGCACATACACAAGCTCGGGGCAGGGGAGGAAGTGGTGGGAGAGGGAGAAAGAATCTTAGGCAGACTCCCTGCTGAGTATGAAGCCCGATGTGGGGCTTGATCTCATGACCCTGAGATCATGACCTGAGCCGAAATCAAAAGTGGGATGTTTAACCGACTGATCCAGACGCCCCTGAATGATGGGATTTTAAACACATGATTAGATGAACAAAACTAGATGGGGAGGAATGATGACAAAAGCGCTGAACACCCTTTAATTTTCCTTAAAAGGGATTATAGTCGCTTAATCCAGGTTTAATGTGTCTTTGGAAAGATAAAGATAATTAAAACTATATCCTTTGTAGCTTGAAAGGAAATAGCAGAAAACATAAATTATAAAAATAATTAGATAAAAAAATCAAACATCACATAAAACAAATATGATTACTTAAACATTTTTTTTTTTAGATTATTTATTTATTTGACAGAGAGAGATCACGAGCAGGTAGAGAGGCAGGCAGGGAGAGAGGATGGGAAGCTGGCTCGCCGCCGAGCAGAGAGCCCAATGCGGGGTTTGATCCCAGGACCCTGAGATCATGACTTGAGCCGAAGGCAGAGGCCCTAACCCACTGAGCCACCCAGGCGCCCCAACTTTTTTAAGGATAAAGCATTAGGTTGGGAGAAAACATAGAAAAATGTCAACTAAATGTTAAAACTGTAAATTACTTTTGCTTTCTTCTTTATACTTTTTGGTACTTTCTAAGTTTTTAGCAGTTAAAAAAACATTACTTTTTGTGTAATAAAGAATTTAGCTTTGTCGAAAGAGACAGTTTGGCCGTTGTCCTCAGCTTCTGGGAGGCAATCTCTAGACCCTTGGAATGCTATCTCAACGGAGTATCTTTGGAGGCCTTGGTCATACTGAATAGTCTTAAAAATGTGACTTAGGGTGGGGGCTTTGGGTCATGCCGTATCAATGTACCTAGAGGCTGAGATGAACTACACAGGAAATCAATCTTCAATCATGCTTATATGATACAGCCCAAATAAAAATTTGGGACATTAAAGTTCAACTGAGATTGCTGGTTGACAATATTCTGTATGCATTGTTACACACCAATTTCCAGAGGAAAACATGCTCTGACTCCACATTAGAGGACAAAAGAAGCTCTAAGTTGGAATTTCTCTTAAAATCTGTCCCATATGCTTTCTCCCTTGGCCAATTTTAATCTGTAATAAACTGTAACTACAACTACAATAGCTTTCAATGAGTTCTGAGTACTTCCAGTGAATTACTGAACCCAAGGTGGTCTTAGGGATCCCCTGACTTACAAATAGTGTTAGAACTGAGGGCAATCTTTTGACTATTCCCCCCAACTTTATCATTGGCTAAGCCTCACCATTGGCCAAACTCTTCCCACTTGTACAAACAGAATAAAACTGGGTTATGGTAAAACTACTCAAATCAAGTAAGAGGTAGTCATGATTTGGTGGCTAGTCATCTGCAGAATAAACCAACCCCCCCATGGTAGTTTGGGTACCCCCCAGAAGCACAAGGCTTACTTCATAGGTGATAGTATTCAAGTTCTGTTGCCCAGAACTGTGTTTGTTCTTTCCACTTTCCTTCCGTTGCTCTTTCAGATCAGTCAGTAACTGGAACACCTAGGAAGTGATAAATTATTTTTATGAATAAATGTGAAGAATGTATTTCAAGGTCAATGATTTTGAAGAGTAAATAGGACTGTACCTCTTTTCCTTCACAAACCCTCCCCCTAACTCTTGTATTAGAGCAAATATGAGTCTGAGAAGCAGCTGACACTTTAAAAATGCTTTTGTCTAAGTTGAATAATCCAAATTCGTTAGTTTATTGAAAATATTCCAAATGTTCCCTTTTCAACATATACCGTATCACTGATCTCCTCTTATATTAAAAATATATTGAGTATTTGAAAGTAAATTTTCCTAAAATATGATCTCAATAGATGCAAAGGTTTTTCCAAAATTCAACACCAATTCATGATAAAAACTCTCAACAAACTGGGTTTAGAGGGAACACACCTCAATGTGTAAAGGCCATATATGACAAGCCCTCAGCTAACATCATATTGAACACTGAAAAGCTGAAAGCTCTTCCTATTAGACCAGGCCAAGACAAAGGTGCCAGTCTTACCCCTTTTCTTCCACGTAGTACTAGAAGTCCTTGCCAGAGCAATTAGGCAAGAAAAGAAATAGAAGGCAGCCAAATTGTGGTAAAACTGTCACTATTTGCAGATGACATGATACTACCTATAGAAAACTCTAAAGACTCTACCAAAAAACTTAACTAATTATAAGTGAATTCAGTAAAATTACAGGATACAAAATCAATATATAGAACTCTATTGCATGTCAAATGATAATAGTGAACTATCAGAAAGAGAAATTAAGAAAACAATCCCATTTACCATTGTATCAAAAATAACAAAATACCTAGGAATCAATTTAACCAAGGTATGAAAGATCTATATACTGAGCAGGATAAGACACTGAAACTGAACAAGACACAAATAAATGGAATGATATTCCATGCTCATGGATTAGAAGAATTAGTAATGTCCGTACTACCCAAAGCAATCTACAGATTATGTGTAATCTCTATCAAAATTCCAATGGCATTCTTCACAGAAATAGAAGAAGCAATCCTAAAATTTTATGTAACAACAAGACCCTGAATAGTCAAAGCAATCCTGAGAAAGAAGAGCAAAGCTAGAGGCATCATGCTTCCTGATTTCAAACTACATTACAAAGCCAAGAAATCAAAATGGTATTGTATTGACATAAAAAGACAAAAATCAATGGAACAGAACAGAGAGTCCAGAAATAAACCTACACATATGTGATTAGTTAATTTTGACAAAGGAGCCAAAAATACACAATGGAGAAAAGAGAGTCTCTTCAATAAATGGTGCTGGGAAAACTGGACCATTACCTTATACCACACATAAAAAATTAACTCAAAATGAATTAAAGAACTGAATGCAAGACCCAAAACCATAAAGCTCCTACAGGAAAACACAAGAGACAAGCTCCGTGACATTGGTTTTGGTGATGATTTTTTTTTCTTTTTTTTTTTTAAAGATTTTATTTATTTATTTGTCAGAGTGAGAGAGGGAGAGAGAGCAAGCACAGGCAGACAGAATGGCAGGCAGAGGGAGAAGCAGGCTCCCTGATGAGCAAGGAGCCCGATGTGGGACTCGATCCCAGGACGCTGGGATCATGACCTGAGCCAGAGGCAGCTGCTTAACCAACTGAGCCACCCAGGCGTCCCTGTGATGATTTTTTTTTTTAAACACCAAAAGTAAAGGCAACAAAAGCGAAAATAAAAAAGTGGGACTACATCAAACTAAAAGGCACAGAAAAGGAAACCATCAGCAAAGTGAACAGACAACTTACTAAATGAGTGAAAATATATGCAAATCATATATCTGATAAGAAGTTAATACTCAAAACATATAAAGAACTTACAAAACAACCAATCGCATTAAAAAATGGGCAGAGCACTGAAACAAACATTTTTCAAAAGACACACAGATGGCCAACAGACACATAAAAAGATGTTCAACATCAGTAATCATCAGGGAAGTGCAAATCAAAACCGCAATGAGATTTGACTTCATAGCTGTTCAAACAGCTAACATCAAAAAGACAAGAAATAATGTGTCGGCAAGGATGAGAAGAAAAGGAAACCCTTGTGCGCTGTTGACGGGAATGTAAATTCATGCAACCACTATAGAAAACAGAATGGAGGGTCCTCAAAAGTTAAAAATAAAACCACAATATGATTCAGCAATTCCACCTCTGGGTATTTTATCAAAACAAAATAAAAACACTAACTCTTATGTAAGACATATGCACCACCACGTTCAATGCCGCAATATTTACAATAGCCAAGATATGGAAACAACGTGGGTGTTCATCAACAGATGAATTTAAAAAAATGGTTTTTCTATAAACAATGGAATATTATTTGGCCATAAAAAAGAATGAAACCTTGCTATTTGCAACATGGATGGATTTTAGGGTATTATGCTAAGTAAAATAAGCCAGACAGAGAAAGACAAATATCTTATGATCTCACTTACATGAGGAATCTTAAAAAACAAAACCAAACCAAACGAGGGGGTGCCTGGGTGGCTCAGTCAGTTAAGCATGCAACTCCTGATTTCAGCTCAAGTCATAGTCTCAGGCTTGTGGGATCAACCCAGGGTTGGGTTCCCTGGTCAGCACAGAGTATGCTTGTCCCTCTCCCTCTGCCCCTCCACCTGCTAGCAAGCATGTGCATTCTCTTTCAAATAGATACATACATACATACATAAAATCTTCACCAAAAAAAAAAAAAAAAAAAAAAAGGGGGGGGGGCGCCTGGGTGGCTCAGTGGGTTAAGCCGCTGCCTTTGGCTCAGGTCATGATCTCAGGGTCCTGGGATCGAGTCCCGCATCGGGCTCTCTGCTCAGCGGGGAGCCTGCTTCCCTCTCTCTCTCTCTCTCTCTGCCTGCCTCTCCGTCTACTTGTGATCTCTCTCTGTCAAATAAATAAATAAAATCTTTAAAAAAAAAAAAAAAAAGCTCAGAGACATAGAGAATAGACTCATGGCTGCCAGAGGCAGGAGGCAGAGGATGGGCAAAATCAGTAAGGGAGTCACAAGGTACAAATTTCCAGTTATAAAATAAGTAAAGTATGAGGATATAATGTGCAGGACGGGGACTACAGTGTATCTGTACTGAATATGTGGAAGTTGTTAAGACAGGAAATCTTAAAAGTTCTTATCACAAGAAAAAAAAATCTGTGTACGGTAATGGATGTTTACTAAATTTATTGTGGTAATTTCACAATGTACAAATACTGAATCATTTCATTGTACACCTGAAACTAATGTTATCTGTCAACTGTGCCTCAATTAAAAATTTTTTCCTACAAATAAGTTTTTTCTAAAACAAGGTCCTGTTTCACTAATATGAAAATCTAGTAAGTTTATTTCCAAAAAAGAAAAACTATGATGCTAAGTGATAAATATAAATTTTATTTTAATTTTTTTTAATAAATATAAATTTTATTAAAAAAAAAAAAAAAGAAGGGAAAAAATTGCTACAGAACTTTAGAAGTAAACTTCCCCACAAGGGAAAAACATGTATGTGTTAGTGCTGAGGAGGATGGGTGGAGGATATATCTTTCCCATTTTAGAGATTATGCCAGAGACCTAAGAAAGTTGTAAGTATGGGTTCATAAACCATTACTAGATAAAACAGAACCCCTCCCCTGCCTCTCACTATTTTTTTCAGAAATAGTGTCATAAGATTAATGCAATGTTTCCCCAAAGGATAAAACACCCAAACATTCAGCAGAATCCAAACTGGACAAGGAAGTTTCTAAAAGCCAATGGCTTGACTAACAACCATTTCCTTCCTGTTATTAGTAGCAACAATTTAAGGAAGGAGTATGACCAACTATGTTAAATCCAGTACTTTCTATTTTCTATATCACACAAGAGAGACTCAAATCTCCTAAAGTCTTCATGAATTTAGATTGTAGAAAATGAAAAATTGACAGTGAATGTATAAACGGTTCTTTATGTACCTGGAGCTAACTTATCAGATGGCTTTGCGAATACCAAATAAAACGAAGGCAAAATAGTAGGCAGGCAAAAATAATGTTATTATCTCCCCCTCACCAATTTCTTTCCTTTTTTGCCTCCCTTTCTCCAAAAACCCAACCCTCAAGCCCCCAAATTCCAAATCTGCTAGTTCATACTAAATTATTCAGAATGGTGCATCAAACTAATCTGTCACTTTCAAAATGAAAGTGTTAATACTTATAAGATTATTATGAGGATTGAAATAATAACATATAAAAGCATTTTATAGGTAAAGAGTAGTAATTAGGAAAGGCATAAGTATTTTAATGGAAAACTTTGTAGGCAGAAACAGTTCCAAAACAGATGCTTCCATCCCATGAAGGCATATCAAATGAAGATCTACAATACTTGGGTTTGGGGAAGGCTGCCTACTGTAACTGAAGTCTTCCCAGCTTCTCAGAATTACTATGTATAATTTACCAAGCTTATAATTCCTAGGTCCACCAGATGGTGCCATCTGTCTTACTTTAAAGTTGAAAATCCAAATGAATTCAGTCATTTTAACTGAAACTAGTTCAATAATCTTCAAAAGCAAAGGGCAAACTACCAGAGAGGAAAATTCAATAGTTTACTTCAAAACTATTTACCTCGTAGTTACTGAGCAGTGCAGAATTGGCATCCTTCCTGCAAAATAAAGTAAATTATCATCAGTCCGGGCTCAAATTCCTTTGTGAGAATTAAATATCTGTAAAATACTTCCCGTATCAAGATTGAGTAGTTCATCGCTTCTCGGCCTTTTGGCTAAGATCAAGTGAAGATTGAGTAGTTCAGTTCAGAGATTTAGAGACTATAACCTAAAACTGAGAAATGTCCTAAGTCCTACTGGTTTAGCAGGCAATGGACAACTTCAGAGTAAACTTCCCTCTCTATGGCATATATAGCACATCAGTTACTAAGTAGGTGATCGAAATACTATACTTATCCTTAATCTATGTAGGCAGAAGTTAAGAAAAGTCAGTCATCTGGGAGAAGTCACTTAAAGGAAGAACAGGAGGCAAAACCAGAGAATTAGGAAGGGGTGTCAATAAAGCAAGGGAGCGAGACTCAACTGGAGACACAAACAGTGCTGTCTCATCCCACAGGCATGTCCTTTCCGGAGTACCATCTGCCTCCCTTCAGTTACTGACAAGGTATCTTGGGCAGGCAATGTACCCTCTGAATCAGGAAAAATGGGAGCATTAACACTAACATCACTAATGGGAATTTCAGCAGTGTCAAGAATGCTTCCAGAGATTCACAAGGGTGCTCATCTTCTCTATCAATTCAACAGGTAAAGTTCACATGTCAAGCAGTGGTCATTGTGCCTGTGATCAAGGCACAATGTCATCTTTCATGTATGAGTGAACACAGCAATGTGACTTGTATTTAAGTATAATCAAGCCATTCTACAATACCACATCAGAAGTATTTACTGTTTTTAATAGTCTAGAGGCTGTACAGTGTGATAATTATGAGCAGTTTTGAATCAGACAAATCTGGGTTCATATTCTAGCTCTGCCACTTAAAAGGTCTGGGAGTTTTGGGAGTTTATTAATCTCCCCAACCTTCTCATTTAAAACAAAAACCGGGGGGGGGGTGCCTGGGTGGCTCAGTGGGTTAAGCCTCTGCATTCAGCTCACGTCATGATCTCAGGGTCCTAGGATCGAGTCCCACATCAGGCTCTCTGTTAGGCATGGAGCCTGCTTCCTCCTCTCTCTCTCTCTCTGCCTACTTGTGATCTCTGTCAAATAAATAAAATCTTAAAAAAAAAAAAAACACACACACACAAAAAAAAACAAAAACTGGGGAGCGGAGTGGGAGGCTTTGCAGGAACCAATCAGACTGAGTTGCCAGAGCATCGCACGTACCCTGCTGCCGCCATCTGGGAGTCTCCTGCACAGCCCAGGGGAGCAAATTCCAAGCATCTCCTGCTACGGCTGCTCCTTGGAGCCAGGCGCGGGTAAGCTGAGTATGTGAAACCCTCAGGCCCTAGACCCGAGGCCCTCTTCCCATTTCCCAAACCACCATGACCCACTTCAACAAGGGCCCTTCTTAATATGCTCTCTGTCAAGGTCAAGAGCAAGATCCCTTCCAAGTACATCCTCAGGCAGATCTTTCAAACTGGACAGAAGAGGAGACAGGCATGAGCATTGGCACCAACTTTCAGTATGCCTCAAAAGATGGCATCATCCTCTGCGAGCTCATAAACAAGTTGCCAGGCTCAGTGAAGAAGATTAATGAGTCCTTGTTAAACTGGCCCCAGTTGGAGAATATTGGGAACTTTATTAAACCTACTCAGGCTTATGGCATGAAGCCACACGATATATTTGAAGCAAATGATCTTTTCGGGAATGGAAACATGACCCAGGTTCAGACTATGCTGGTGGCTCTGGCAGGTCTGGCTAAAACAAAAGGATTCCATACAACCAATGACGCTGGAGTTAAGTATGATGAAAAGCAAAGAAGACATTTTGATGAAGGAAAGTTAAAAGCTGGCCAAAGTGTAACTGGTTTGCAGATGGGAGCCAACCAATGTGCCAGCCAAGCAGGTATGACAGCCTATGGCACCAAGAGGCATCTTTACGATTCCAAAATGCAAAACGACAAACCTTTTGACCAGGCCACAATTAGTCTGCAGATGGGCACCAACAAAGGAGCCAGCCAGATGGGGATGTTAGCACCAGGTACCAGAAGAAACATCTATGATCAGAAGCTAACATTACAACCAGTGGACAACTCGACAATTTCTCTACAGACGGGAACCAACAAAGTTGCTTCCCAGAAAGGAATTAATATGTATGGGCCTGGGCAGCAAGTACATGATCGCAAATACTGTGCCACTCCCACAGAACCTGTCATTCGCAACGGAAGCCAAGAAACAGGAACAAATGGGTCTGAAATTAGTGATAGGGATTATCAGGCAGAACACCCAGATGAGTATCACGGAGAGTACCAAGATGACCACCCCAGAGATTCCCAATATGGCAACCAAGGCACTGATTATTAGACTGGCACAGAGGAGCTCAGTATTTAGTCCACTGTTTTTAATTCAGTGAGAACCAAGCTAACCTTGAGTAATTTTTATCTTGTTTCCCTAAAACACTATCATGCTTATTGTACCTAAAAGAAGTATTGCCTGACATCCCCCCCTTCCTTTTTCTGTGTCTTCCCTAAATAGCGGCCCTTTCGTGCTCTAACAGCTCAATCTTCAAGCAGAAGCAGGAACTCCCACAGGAAGTAAAAGGAATACTGTGAACAGGGAGTACTCTCGTACAGCCAATTCTCTTATTAAAGACCTATACTTATTTTTTTAAGATTTTATTTATTTGAGAGAGAGAGACAGAGACCGAGCACAAGCAGAGGGAGCAGAAGGCAATGGGAGAAGCAGACTCCCCGCTGAGCAGAGAGCCCGATTCGGGACTCAATCCCAGGACCACGGGATCATGACCTGAGTTGAAGGCAGAGGCTTAACTAACTGAGCCACCCAGTCTTACAATCTATTAATAAACTGGGATTTTGAAACAACAAGAGACTTTTTTTTTTTTTTTTACAGTTCAGTATCTCTTTTCTACCTGGAGATAGAAATTGCTAAATCATTGCTAAATGAGGTCTTTGCCAACTAAATTCACAATGCAGCATTTTAGAAATTTACATAACAATGTCTTAGTTTGCTAATTTTTTTTTTAAAGATTTTATTTATTTATTTGACAGAGATCACAAGTAGGCAGAGAGGCAGGCAGAGAGAGAGGAAGGGAAGCAGGTTCCCCGCTGAGCAGAGAGCCCCATGCAGGGCTCGATCCCAGGACCCTGAAATCATGACCTGAGCGGAAGGCAGAGGCTCAACCCACTGAGCCACCCAGGTGCCCCTCTTCCACTGTTTATTGCTACATTTCTTGGTGTAAACTTATCTCACTGTATTTTTTATAAGTATTTGGGGAACATTAAAAAAAAAGGGGATAAAGTAGAACCTCTAAGTGTAGCCTGGATTCCAAGCCAGCTCCACTGATGAGAGCTCTGTAAATTCAGGCAAATTACCCAACCTCTCTATACTTAGATTTCCTCATCCACGAAATGACAATTCGAGTACTAACCATGTACGATTATTTACAGAATTAAACTGAAAAATGTAAAGCACTGGAACACAGCAAATACTCAAGAACACCATCTACTGTCACTACCTGTGCTATTACCATAACGTCTTCCTAGCTCATAAAGCTATTATGAAGATGAGATGAGACAACAAATTTTAAAACTGTAGCATTGTTCTTGGTACTTATTAAGATCTTCCTTAATGGAAACCATTGTTTTTTAAAGATCTCACCTCGCTGAATCCTCATTAAAAAACCCTGTGATGTAGGGGCTATTATTTTTCCTTCTTTACAGATGATGAAACTGAAGCTCAGAGATTTAAAAATTTGCCTCCGGTCACGCCCTAAGAAGCCTAAATGAAGCAGAAGGTAACTACAGAACTGAGAGAAATGAGACTGGATTAGACAAATGGAAACCGGTAATGCAGAATCCTAAAATTCAGGAAGCGCTCGGGGCCTGACATACCGTCTGATAAAGACCGCTGTTTGTTCCTAACCAGGAGCGGGGCTGTATGATGAAAATGCTGATGACACAAAATTTCAAAAACATGGGCTAAACAGATGAGTGATCTCCCTAAGCAATCAATAAAGCAAAACAAGCAGGTGGTGAACACAAGAATCTGACCTAGGCCTTTGGTCAGGAGCACAGTGATGTCAGCACTCTAATCTAATCAACATGTGAAGCTTACCAGACGCTCCAGACATTTAACACATAGCTGGGATTTCACAAAAGCGCTGCTTTGCCCAAATGACCACACCACAGCTGCACTGAGGTCACAAAGAATATCATATTTAAAAGGAATCTAAAACAGGAAGAACCATGTATAATTAGTGTATATGATATGGTTCATTTAAAACTGAAAAGGACAAATCAAACCACATGTCATCTTTGCCTACTTAATCAGGAAGTCAGTCCACAAGGCTTCTTCCTATCTTTGCTTGAAATCGAGTTAAAACTCCCTGTGTGCCCTAAAATACACTGTAACTAAGAAATCCCCTGCTGGAAAAGACTGGAAAAATAACACAAATGTTATTTTTCCTCAAGGCTAAGGGACCCATCCAGGTGCCACTGCTACAACTTCATTTCCAACTCAGAGCCTCTCCTTCATGCAGAATATTCTACGCCTTAGGAAAATCTGTTCTTGGCTATTCCAAGTTATGGCCCACTACCCAAGCCAATACTGTTAATGCAAGAATCCAAAGAACACCTGGAACCAGGATAAAAAGGAGAGACACTCTCTTGCACGTGTGTCTTAATGAACCTGTGTTTTGGGGCCAGGAGAACAATGGATATTTAAACAAGTACCCCATCTTGGAGATTCTGGCTGGCAGAGGCTGATTTATTCATTTATTCTTTTATTAGGAAGATAAATAAAAATTTTTTCTCAGTAAATACCAATGGAATAAATGCCAATATACGCTAGGCTTTCCTTTATTTAATAAAATGCCAACAGGCATAAGATCTACCTTTGATGAAATGAACTATGGTCATTTCAGTTCCTAAATGAACCGTGCATATCGAGAAAAGTTTTATGACAGCGTTTTATCCTACTATAA